ATCAGCAGGGGATCAAATACTTATTTCCTTCACTGTATATATATACAGTATCTCACAGACGTGAATACACCCCTCACATTTTTGTAAATACCGTATTTTTCGCTCCATAAGACGCACCTGACCATAAGACGCACCTAGGTTTTAGAGGCAGAAAACAGGAAAAAATATATTCTGAACCAATGGACTGCAGACATAGTACAGGAGATGACCAAAGACTGCAGACACAGTACTGGAGATGACCAGAGAGACTGCGGAGAACATAGACTACAGGAGATGACCAGAGACTGCGGACGTAGTACAGGAGATGACCAGAGACTGCGGACGTAGTACAGGAGATGACCAGAGACTGTGGACGTAGTACAGGAGATGCCCAGAGACTGCGGACATAGTACAGGAGATGACCAGAGACTGCGGACACAGTACAGGAGATGACCGGACTGCGGACGTAGTACAGGAGATGACCAGAGACTGCGGACATAGTACAGGAGATGACCAGAGTACTGTGGACATAGTACAGGAGATGACCAGGAGACTGTGTGGACAGTACAGGAGATGACCAGAGACTGTGGACAGTACAAGGATGACCAGAGACTGCGGACATAGTACAGGAGATGACCAGAGACTGTGGACATAGTACAGGAGATGACCAGAGACTGCAGACAGTACAGGGGATGACCAGAGAGTGCGGACATAGTACAGGAGATGACCAGAGACTGCGGACAGTACAGGGATGACTAGAGACTGTGGACAGTACAGGAGATGACTGCTGACCTTTGGGGAGGGGGGGGAGCGGGTACCTGAATTTGACAGGTACCCGCTCTTCTGCGGAGTTGTTCTTTGGTTAGTGTCCACTCTGCAGCGGGACCTTACCCGTTCCTCTATCCAGCAGCGCGCTGTCTTCCCAGCTTCTGTAGTGTGAGCGCTCGGCTTGACAGCCGGGTGCCCAGTGTGCATGAGCGAGAAGCGCTGCGCTTTGTGATTGGTCCGGCGGCTTCTGGGACCTGTCATGTGTGCCAGGTGCTGCCTTACCATTCACAAAGCACACCGCTTCTTGCGCATGCGCACTTGGTACCCGGCTGTCAAGCCGAGCGCCCACACTACAGAAGCCGGGAAGACAGCGCGCTGCTGGATAGAGGAACAGGTAAGGTCCTGCTGCAGAGCTGAGTGGCCGGCCCGGTTTTCTGACACAGCGGCGGTGGAAATACCAGACCGGCCGCTCCATAAGACGCACTGACATTTTCCCCCCTTTTTTGGGGGGGAAAAAAGTGTATCTTATGGAGCGAAAAATACGGTACTTCATTATATCTTTTCATGTGACAACACTGAAGTGTACTCTCTTTTGTTGCTAGCGGTTTAGACATTAATGACTGTGTGTTGAGTTATTTTGAGGGGACAGCAAATTTACACTGTTATACAAGCTGTACACTCACTACTTTACATTGTAGCAAAGTGTCATTTCTTCAGTGTTGTCACATGAAAGGATAGAAGAAAAATATTTACAAAAATGTGAGGGGTGTACTCACTTCTGTGAGATACTGTGCCAAAAAGTTCTACTTTGGTCTCATCTGACCACATGACTTTCTCCCATGCCTCCTGTGGATCATCCAGATGTTCATTGACAAACTTCAGACGGGCCTGGACATGTGATGACTTGAGGAGGGGAACCTTCCGTGCAATGCATGATTTGAAACCATGACGGCGTAGTGTTCTACCGACAGTGACCTTTGAAACTGTGGTCCCAGCTCTCTTCATGTCATTGACCAGCTCCTCCCTTGTAGTTCTGGGCTGATTCCCCACCTTTCTTATGATCAGTGATACCCCATGAGGTGAGATCTTGCATGGAACCCCAGTCCGAGGGAGACTGACAGTCATCTTTAGCCTCTTCCATTTTCTAACAATTGCTCCAACAGTTGATCTATTTTCACCAAGCTGCTTGGCAATTACCCCGTAGCCCTTTCCAGCCTTGTCCACAATTTTGTTTCTGGTGTCTTTTGACAGCTCTTTGGTCTTGCCCATGGTAGTAGTTGGTGTCTGACTGACTGTGGGGTGGACGGGTGTCTTTAAAGAGCTCAGACAGGTGCTACTAAGTTAGATTAATGAGTGGAGTAGAGGTGGACTTTTTAAAGGCACAGTAACAGGTCTTTAAAGGCCAGAATTCTTGCTGTTTCTCAGGTGTTCAAATACTTATGTTCAGCAGTGCAAGACAAATTCTTTAAAAATCATACAATGTGATTTCCTGAATTTTTTTTTTAATTCTGTCTCTCAGAGTGGGAATGCACCTACAATGTGAATTTCAGACCCCTCCATGATTTCTAAGTGGGAGAACTTGCAAAATCGTAGGGTGTTCAAATACTTCTGTTCCTCACTGTATATATACACATATATACACACACACACACATTATATTGCCAAAAGTATTGGAACACACCCTCCAAATCTTTGGATTCAGGTGTTCCAATCACCTCCATGGCCACAGATGTATAAAATCAAGCACCTAGGCATGCAGACTTCTTCTATGAACATTTGTGAAAGAATGAGTCGCTCTGAGGAGCTCAGTGAATTCAAGCATTGTACCTTGATAGGCTGCCACCTGTGCAATCAGTACATCTGTGAAATTTCCTTGCTACTAAATATTCCACGGTCAACTGTTAGTGGTATTATAACAAAGTGGAAGCAACTGGGAACAGCAGCAACTCATCCACAAAGTGGTAGGCCATGTAAAATGACTGAGTGGGGGCAGTGCATGCTGAAGCGCACAGTGCTCAGAAGTCGGCAACTGTCTGCAGAGTCAATAGCTAAAGACCTCCAAACTTCATGCGGCCTTCAGATTATCACTGGGATGAATTAGAGTGGAGACTGTGAGCCAGGCCTTCTCTTCCAACATCAGTGCCTGACCTGACAAATGCACTTCTGGAAGAATGGTCAAACATCCCCATAGACACACTCCTAAACCTTGTGGACAGCCTTCCCAGAAGAGTTGAAGCTGTTGTAGCTGCAAAGGGTGGGCCAACTCAATACTGAACTAGATAAAGACTGGGATGCCATTAAAGTTCATGTGCATGTAAATGCAGGCGTCCAAATACTTTTGCCAATATAGTGTATAGATATATTTTTTTTCTTTTAGAATTATGTAATTCCTACTTTATAATGTATGAATGTTATGTGTGGGAGGAATGAAATTTAAGTATAAAGTATGACAATAAAATAAGTTTTGAGTTATGGAGATTAGGGAGGTTATCTGGAGCTTAAAGCAAACCTGTCTGTGGGTTGCCTGGCTGTTATACTGACAAACTGGTTTCAATACCTTCAGTCACTGAGCTAGATTAAGTATGCAGATCAGGAAAGCTAGAATTCCTTATCGGAATATTTATTCTAGGTCAGGAAAAGCATTGAAAGCAGAGAGCAGGAAGACATCCAGGCAACTAGCATTTTCGCAAGATGATATCAGCAATGGTGTCCTTCATGTTTCCCTCAGGATAGATTTCCTTCAATCAGTATGTAATTTAACTCATTTAAAGGAGTCTTTATATGTTAAACATAGGAAATAATATATTTTCAAACAATAATTTGCGGTCTATTGAGTAAGTACATTTGTTTTATCCACTCCAGAAGACACAATGAGTTTGAGAGTAATGTTAATAGAAGGTGTATCAAGCTTACCTATGTATTTAATTCCATCATAGATTATAAAGGTAGAGCTGTGGCTTTTATTAAAATTGCAGTTATTTTTTTCTTGCTATGTGGAAGTATTAATTTTAAAATGAGATTGGTAGTTCTCAGTTTACAGTATGAGCCCCTCTACTTCAATTATTTAGACTAACAGAGAAGGTTATGAAATCTAATGTATCCTAGTTATGTATCCATCCATGTACGCTTTATGTCACTCCAAACCAGTGTACCTGTCATGTGAAAATGAAAGTGTCCTTGTAATGATTACTATCAGTGTAAATGCCAGTTTCACCATTTGTGTCACTGGTATACTTCTCTCGTCAGGCTCTGTGTATAATGCATTTGTTGCTCTATATTATGAGAAGGCATGGCCTTGTGTATTTATGATCATGGAACTTTTTGTCTCACTTGAATGGATGTGTGCTACAATCTAAGGGGTATCATATTTATCTTGGTTGGGTGCATACCAATGTTACTAGTTGATGGTATAGTGCATATGTATTAATAATAGGAAATGTGATCAGTAAATACTTTGGAATATTTGAGAACATTAACATGAAGTAAACATTCTCTGATTTAAAAGGATGTTTACGATGACCAATTTGGTACATCTATAGCAACATGCAGTGTAGTTCTACCACAACAAAAATGTTTCTCCTAGACATTTAAAAAAAAAATAAAAACAAAATAGTACAAAAGACAGCGGAGAGGTTTACCATAGCAACAATATTCTAGCTATCTTTTTCCAGCACAGCAACAATTACTTCAGTTTTTTAGAAAATAGCTCAACTGAGTAGCTACAATATAAAAAGGTTCTTTTTAATTTATTGTTGCTCCCATAGGTGGCAATAATCACCAGTGGAATGTTGAAGTTGCCCTCCTATCTACTGGTCAATGGACTAGAGCCCAGTTCAGAAATGGTCAGAATTAGGGTATATCTAATTGGTTGTTGACTGCCCCTGCTTATACTTGGCTGAAGTTTTTTTCTCAGATGACTTTACAAAGAAAAGAAAGAAAATATGAAGTACCTGTACTTTAAAGCTGAATTCCAGGCAAGCAATTAAACACCCATTTAAACTGCATATGCTTTTAAGAACTACTAAAAATATGTAATCCTGTGCAGCCAGTTTTGTAATTTGGGCAATACAACCAGATACTCAACCACCACTGAAATAGCAGCACAGCTTGTCCAAGACCAGGTCAAAACACATTTCCAGCATACCTTCTCCCTTACCTAGTTCCATCAAGTGTAACCCTATACCATCCACCTACCAATCCCCCCACCCCACCTATTCCTTTTTTTCTGCTTTTTTTAATAATACTTAAATATTTAAATAATTTCCTAAAAAAAAAAAACGCAATCCCAGCCAGATGACTACACTATTAAAAGACATTACAGGCAGTCCCTGAGTTGGAAACAAGCAACTTACATACTTAAAGAAGGCAGCATGATGTCATGCTGGTCCTGGAAACCAATGGGCTGCCATCTTGCTGCCACCTACTGTCCCAAGGACCTGTCAGCAATCCCACATCACTTCATGGCCAGTTGACACTACCCTATGCTATCCAAAACTTAAAAATTATTTTTTGGCTGGAGTTGCACTTAAAAAATGTAACTGTTTCAGCTTACATTTAAATTCAGCTAAAGAACAAAGCTACAGAACCTATCTTGTTTGTAAACTGGGGACTGTATGGGTTCATCCCCACCTTTCCCCCATTCACTATCTGTCTCCTCCTTTCATATGTGCCCAGCAGGAGAGTGCAGAATACCTGTTCTTCTGCCTTCAAAATTGAGTGCTATTAGGCAGGTTTTGCAAGGCACTGATTTGTGTGGTGAGTGTTCAAGAGGACATATGTATTTTTATTAAAAACTTTGTGTCCTCCATTAAATCAGACAAAATGCGATTCACAGGACTGTTCCAGTCATTGCAAGGTGAATGCAATGCATAATAACTACACAGTAGAACCATGGCTTCCATGTAACAAAAACCAAAACATCAGGCTTAACTTGGCCTAGAAAAGTCTTTGAAGAAAAAGGACTTCATTTAGTACACAGTGAATAGAATGGTTGAGTTAGAACCCAAACTTGGGAATGCTGTGGATTTTTGCTTGTTCCATAACTATGATCTTGCAGACATGCGTGGAAGCAGTATTACCATCTCTAAACTGTAGCATCAGAGTCCCAATTTGCAAGCTAAAGGTAGCTCATTATGAACCTTCCCATCTTCTTGTAGCAGCTAGAAAATCTCCACAATTGGCACTGGAATGTGTGGACATCAGGGAATCCTACTTGTATGTCTGATAAATATTCTCTGTGGATGACAATAGATACCTTTTTTGAAGATGCCACTTTTACAATTATACGTTTTATTTACATTTACTAACACTGGATTCTGTCATTAGACATTTACTGACACTAAATGCTGGCATTATATTTTTAATGACACGGGGGAGATTTACTGAAATTGGTGCACTCAGAATCTAGTACAACTGTCCATAGTATCCAATCAGCTTCTAACTTGTTCAATTCAGCTTTGACAATAAAACCTGGAAGCTGATTGTTTTCTATGCAAAGCCGTGCCAGATTTTGCACTCTCACACTCTTTAGTAAATAACCCCCTGTATGATTGCAATATATTATCTTTATTCTGGCTCCTCATTTCTAAATTACCTTTGATACTGATTATTGATCCTGCTTTGACATAGCCTTAGAAGAAGAGAAGTCATCTTCATGGTTCTTCAAAGAACAGCCCTGGTTTACTAAAATAATAATGATAATAATTAAAAACAAACTTACAGAAGTATAGGGTATCTGTTACAATCCTATTTACAGAGCACAAATGGATAACAGCTCAGCCTGCTTCCCTCTGTCTAGCCATCATATCCAACTAATTCAGTTGTCTTTCACTAACTCTTTAGTATGAGTTTACACAGAATGATTGCAGACTCTAATCTGGAATAGTATCAGACTCTCTGGCCTATTTTCCTCTCTGGCATTCTCTCCAATTTTTTCATGTTGAACCCATGCTTATTAAGGAAGAATTTGGATTATATTTCTTATTATTCTTTACATCTATACATGTGTTGTTTTTAACCACTTCCTTACCACGCTATAGCTGGTAGACGGCTACAGAGCTGCTCTCCAGTTCTGAGAGGACGTCCATGGATGTGCCACTCCCTCTCCTTTGGACAAAGCTGATTACAGATCGCGGTAAAGGGCCAATCACAGTGGCCCTTTACCATGTGACCAACTGCGTCCAATCACAGCTGGTGACATGTAAATATAATAACCAGATATCAGCATTCCTTTTCTCACACACTGTCTCTGTGTGAGGAAAGAGGAACCAATAATTGTCAAATCCAACAGTACATTGTTTTACACTGATAATCAGGGCACTGATCATCAGTGCCCTGATTATCACTGCAGCCCCATTAGGGCCAATTAGTCCTGACCAGTGCAGGTTAGCAGTGCCACATCATCAATGGAGCCTCATCAGTGGCTCCTCATCAGTCCCCATCAGTGCAGCTTATCAGTGCACATCAGTGCCACCTCATCAGTACCATGTCAACAGTGCAGACTCATCAGTGCACATCAGTGTGGTCTCACCAGTGTACATCAGTTGGCAAAAAGAAACAAAACAGTGATGGTTAAATACCACCAAAAGAAAGCTCTATCTGTTTAAAAAAAATAATTTGGGTACAGTGTTGCATGACACAAAATTGTAATTGAAAGAGTGACAGTGATGAAAGCTGAAAATTGGCCTGGGCAGGAAGGGGGTGAAAGTACCCGATATTGAAGTGGTTAAAAAGTTATCATTTTGCTTATAAATGGAGCCTGGTGGTCTTTGTTAGTCTTTGGCATCTTATATCCTGTCCTGGGCATCTTATATCCTGTCCTGGGTACACCATCAGCATGCTTTCTTTTTCATAATTCCCAAGCCTAAGATTTGGGTGTTCCCACCTACCTTTGAATTCCTCAGCATCTTCTGTTAGACTTCATAATAGGAAATAAATAGATCAAACAGAGTGGAGTAGAAATGCCATATCATGACCACAGGGGCTGTTCAATTCTATAAAATCAAAGGCATAGATCTTACCAGTAGTCTCCAAAAGAAGTTGACATGTAGATTAACTTTCTAGAATCTTCCAAAAAAAATATATATA